TTGAAATTTTTTAAGAAATGTCATTTTCCAAGTGCCACTTTTCAAAAATACCACATTTTCAAAAAATTTACAAAAATGCCACTTTTCACAAATTATTTATTCATTATATCATTTATGTTTGGGTAAACTATGTTGTATTAGAGTTTAGTTTTGAGGGTTTAGGGGTTCTAGGGATCAAAAAGTTTTTAGGATTTAGAATTTTAAGATTTAAGCTCTAAAAAAATCATAATATGTGGTATTTTTGTAAATGAACAATCTATAGTGGCATTTTTTGCAAATTTACACACCAAAAATGGTATTTTTGCAATGGTTCATTAAATATTTGTTATTTATTAAAATTTATTACATATCTAATATATAATTGGCATATAATGATTTGTAGATACAATAAGTACAAAATACTATAACTATCAGTTTTTTTTATCTATCAATAGCTTTAAAATATAATGATTTTATTTTTAAAATTTGATACTTTTGATATATGTGGCATATTTCGTATATAAAGTTGGCGCTTAATAATCGTTACCTACAAATGGTGCGTACTAGTCGTTAACTATAATTGGCGCGCAATATTTAAAAATCCGTTATTTACTAATTTTTTTACATCTTTCTTAAATACAACTAAATACACACAATTAAGTGAAATTAGTAAGATACACAAAATTGTGGTGAAGTAATTAACTAAAAAAAGAGCAAATAATTAAGAGAAAAAGTGAGTTATGTGAAAGAAAAAAAATCAGTGGTGGTAAAAAAGTGTTAGAGCTAACGTTATCTCTAAAACCCACGTCTACCTAAATACCCCTTGAGTTGTGGTGCAACTCATTATAAACTAGAGTAGCTTGAGATTTAGATTTATAAGAAAAAACTATGATGAAGATCAAGGGCAAAGGGATCGCCTTTGATCTAAACCTCAAGCCCGATGATGAAGATGAGGTTCCTCGTTTGGACTGTTCGATTTGTCTTGAGCTTCTTCACCCTAAGAACATTGATCGAACTCTTGTGAAACTCTCTTGTCAGCATGAGTTCCACCTGGGTAATGTTTTGTTTTTTTTTATTGGATTAATATTGAAGTACCTCAATTTGGATTCCTTTGCAGATCCTTAATTTTCACAGATCTAGCTTGTATATATTGTGTTGTGTAGCTTTTTGTGTGAGAAATATATGAATCTAGCTCATGTTGTTGTTATGGAATATTGATATTATGATCTCTCTACCGATCTCTCCGCCTTGTTTAATTTGTTTGATATGCATCTATTAAAGTTTTGGTTTTTCGTTACGTACTATGTTGTGAAATCTAACAATCAGAATTTTGTTGAAATGTTTCTTATACAGATTGTATCGGTTCGGCTTTTAATGCCATACACAAGATGCAATGTCCTAACTGTAAGAACGTTGAAAAAGGCCAATGGTTTGCAAGTGGCATTCCATTTCGAGGTTACGGCATATACGGAGGCTTCGGTGTATACGATCCGATGGATCAAGAGTTTTATGATGAAGAACAAGAAGTTCCATACCTTCATTTCGGACCCATTAACTTGGTTCCACCAACCATGCCCATATGTTTACCGTTTGGTGGTGGAAATGGGATGGACACAACTCCTGTGTGGGGTTTATCTTATCCGAGACCATTTACTGGAAATGGAATGGACACTGGTCCTTGGTTATGCCCATTTCATCAGAGCCAGTTTGGTGGAAATYGAATAGCRCCTTGGTTATCTCCARATGATCCGAACCAGTTCRTTTACGATGGCTTCTTTGAWGAATTCATGAACCGTGACCTTGCCTGGGAGAATGAGGCGTTTCAATATCAGATGGATCAAAGGTTGGCCACTATTGCTGCTTATGAACGTGACTTTCATCCTATGGGACGTTATGGTGGTGGCGAAAGCAGCCGTAGCGGAGTCACAAGCACCAGCCTTAGCGAAGGCGCAAGCACCAGCCGTGGTGGCGGAGGTGGCAGCTACGGTAGCGGAGGAACTGGTGAAAACGGTGGAGGTAGTAGCTCTGGTGGCGGAGGAAGTGGTGGCAACGGCGGAGATTGCAGCAAGTGTGGAAGAAGTGGCTGATGTGTGTGGAGTTTCTAAGCGACCGAACTGGTTCTGGTTTAGTCGAGTCAAATAAAAACCATTGCTATATCTCTTTAAATTGTTATCGAGTCAAAAACTATTATTGTTTAAGTTTTTTAAGTAAACTCT